GGCATAGAGGACCTACAATAATGTACAGTATTTGAAAAATAATGTGTTTTTTGAACATTAAAGCATGTCAACATATTCTGTTACACCAAATACACAAAATAATGATCTTTAAAAAAGCATCATATGACCCCTTTAACACTGCTGCTTTAAAACGCACTGTGACTGCAGGCACATGGAGTTATTCTCACATGGAGCAAGTTTGATCTTGTGAATGCCAGAGGGTCTCCTCAGTTTAAAGTGCATTGGCCCCTCGCTCAACATCTGAATGCAGAGCAGGCTGATCAGTGGATGAACAGTCAGCTTTTATCGATCTGAGAAGAAAGTGCTGACAGGGAAGGACATGACTACACCCTTCTCCTAAACTCATCTCTAGTTTCTTCTGCTCAGTAAGCCATCTCAGGTCGACATGGAAAAATATTCTGTAATCAGTATGCACGAAATACACGCCATTGTGTCAGGTTATTGTATGAATAGCAGATGAGGACAGAAAGTTTCATGTGGTGCAATATATAAAAAATAGGAAACTTACAGGAATTGTGGCGAAATGCGATTTTTGATAAATAATCAACAGTGAATAGCTGGTGTTGAATTCGTGTGCTCTGACTCTTTTGAAATAAAGATTCAATGTTGTTTTTCACCAAGGAATTGTGTCAGAGAATATTGTACATTTTCTGTTCATTTAAAAATGTAAACAAATATATATCATATATTATAAATATATTTTAAGTTTGGGGTCAGTAAGATTTTTTTTTTAACTAAGGCTGCATTTATTTGATCAAAATATCTTTAAAAACAGTAATGTTATAAAATATTTGTACAATAGCTGGTTTCTATTTTAATATATTTTCAAATGTAATTTATTCCTGTGATGGTAAAGTTGAATTTTCAGCATCATTACTCCAGTCTTCAGTGTCACAAGATCCTTCAGAAATCAGTCTAATGACTTGGTGCCCAAGAAACATTTCTTATTATTTTTAATTTAATTAGAATTTAATTTGATACATGTCTTGTCTACTTTGGTTCATGCTATTATATTATTTTGATATTATATAATACAATGTGCTTTCATATTTTCAAAATTGTATTATATTACATTGTAAAGAATCATTTGTGTCAGCTACATGTATTCTCAATGTTTTCAGATTGTCCTGTGGTAGATTTTTGTACATTTTCCGGTAATTGAAATGTAATTTTAATTTTACTGAATTTTGAGTAAACATTTTGTGAAAAGTTCTCTTTTATTTGGTATCTCATTTGCTATGGTTAAAGGCTGGAATGCTAAAAAATACACAAATTTTGCACAGAGTTTTGCCCGATTTACAGTCTGGACAAGATGACACAATAGTTGCCAAAAATCAGAGCCAGACTGCAGATTTAAGTTGACAGATTTCATAGAAAACCGCATAGTGTATGATGGTAACAGACTATTTTGAGCTGATTTTAGAACACATATGCCAAATTTACACTGCAAATGTGGCACAGAAGCGTTTCTGAAGTGGCATTTAAGTGTCTGTTTAATGCTGCTCAAAAGTGGCAGAAATGTACACTGTAAAAAAAATCTGTGACATTTACAGTAAAATACCGGCAGCTGTGGTTGCCAGAACTTCACCGTTAAATATATAATAGCAACATTTTAGGTTTTACAGACTTAACTTAAATTCACAATAAAAAAAACGTATTTCATTAACTGATGTAATGTTAATAAACCAGCATATTTAAGTAGTTTTGAA